AGCATTAACTACACAGAGCCGTTGTTCACAGACGAGCTGCGCAAAACCACGTTCATATTCGCGCGATTTTTTGTGCAGCTCGTCAGTGAACAACGGCTCTGTGTAGTTAATGCTGCTCAACGTGAAAGCACGCAGGTGATGGAGATTTAATATACACTATTTAATATACACTATTAAATCTGCAAGATAAATCTTGTCAGTAAAGCCGGTTCTGTAATCAGCGGTAAATCTCCATCACGTGCGTGCTTTCACATGGAGCAGCATTAACTACACAGAGCCGTTGTTCACTGACAAGCTCTCCATCACCTGCGTGCTTTCACGTTGAGCAGCATTAACTACACAGAGCCGTTGTTCACTGACGAGCTGCGCAAAACCACGTTCATATTCGCGCGATTTTTTGCGCAGCTCGTCAGTGAACAACGGCTCTGTGTAGTTAATGCTGCTCAACGTGAAAGCACGCAGGTGATGGAGATTTACCGCTGATTACAGAACCGGCTTTCTGACAAGATGCGCGTTAAATATCGCATGCGATTTATCGTGCAGCCCTAGTCTGGAGCCCTGTGTGGATTTTGATGTGAGAGGACAAAAGAGGATGGACTTTTTCCACTGTAAGAAGCATTATTATGGATTATGGACTTGTAATTTTGGCCAGAAGTGACTGTTTAAAGTTAAAACGGCTTAATGATGGATTTGGTTTTTACAAACACACAGCTGTTCATTTCACAAGGTGTTAATTGATGGACTGGAGTCGTGTAGATTGTTTGTGGATTATTGTGATGTTTTTATCAGCTGTTTGTACTTGCATTCTGATGGCACCCATTCACTGCAGAGGATCCATGGATGAAATAACGTAATGCTGAATTTTCTCAAATCTGTTCCAATGAAGAAACAAACTCATCTAGCCTACATCTTTTATGACTTAAAGGTGAGTATGTTTTAATTTTTTTGGGTGAACTATTCTTTTAAGCACGTAAAACACAAGAAATGCAATAAATGTCTCATAAAAGTGGTCCATACACTTTAAAACATACATTTTAAAACTTGTAAAGTCATACAGTAGCTTTGTGTTACAGACACACTGAAATTGAAGTTATTCGCTGACAATCCAGGGTGCTGTAAACTTCTGCATTAAATTGATTCGTCTAACTGAATAATTGAAAGAATATGGCTCAAAAGAATGATTCATTTATTCATGCTCCAAGGAGAGCTTGGTCTGAAGTCAAGATTTTTGAAGATGATGACCTGAATTTGAGTCTGTTCCTCAGACAATGCTACAGTATGACTTCAGGATACTCATTTGGACATGGATTATACCTTTATGGTGCATTTGCATCTTTTTTGAAGCTTCCCAATTCATTGTAATAGGGTGTGGATTGTACATTCTTCAGAATTCTCAGTGATACCGGTTTGGAACCACATGAGGGTAAGTAAATAATGACAGTTTCTTTTTGGGGGGTGAAATATTCCTTTAAACACATGCTCAAAGGCATATACACACTTTTCTCATAGATGGAAGCTGCAGGAAGGGTACAGGTACCATTTGTCCTTGTTAGAGAGAAAGAGAGAGAGAGATTGCACAGCTCTCTCGTTCATCATGTGTATTCTGCCCATGGCTGAATTAAGGGCAGACAAATCCATGTCTCATGGAGCAGTCCGAGGGAAATGATGGCTAGGACACTTTAAGCTTTTATCAAACACCAAGGCAATGGCTATAAACTTGAGTTACTCTGGATAGTGGGGGATTAAATTCCCTTTCTTCATTGTTTCATCCTCTTTCTCCCTCGCCCTTCTTTTCTGCCCAGCTGTGTGTGTATGTTGTGCTGCACAGGTGTGAGTTTGACATCTAGGGCATGAGTCCAACGTTGCGTATGTACTGTATGTATGTAAGTTTTTTTTTTTTTAATAAGATCAAAAATACAGTAAAATTAAGAACTATGTGTTTTATCTATTCTATTATGATTTCTAGTTTAAAATCTAATTTCCCTTAGGTTGTATCCCCTAGGCCAAAGCCCATCTTGCATTTTCTACCTGTGTGTTTGTGTTTGTGTGAATGAAAGGGTCTGTTCACAGTTGTGTGTGTGTGTGTCTGTATGTGGGTGTGAAGTTCGAACAGATGGGTCTCAATGTTTCCTGCTGAGTTGACTCCGTTGACAGCTCTGACTCACCTTTATATCGCTGTCACACAAAATATTGTTCACAGTCTTGGCTTCAGAACCCCTGGCTGCCCTCTCCTGAGCCCTGAACAGCTGTCCACTACAGTGCCTGTGTGAAGAGCACTGATTTAGAAAAACGGGGAATCTGGCAGGCGACCCTGGGGAAGACTCATAGGATCCAGAGGAGCACTCATATCATATATGACCAGGAAAACATGATTATCCATCCATTCATTTTCCAAACCGCTTGTCCTGTGTACTGTAGGGTTGTGGGGATGCTGGAGTCTGTGCCAGTGTCTTGGGGTGTAGGCAGGGAAACACGTTGGACATTGCTAAGGAAAGCATGACTATACTTCATATACTGGAGTTAAAGTTGACTTACAGGCTATATTTTTATAATATTTATATAAATGTAATTTTTACACACACACACACACACACACATATATATATATATTAACCTAAATGCATTTTAACCTAATGTATTTAACTAATTTCATATGTTTAGAAAACAAAAATTGTATTTATAGGTATACATAGGCATTTAATATGTACCAAAATGTACGCACATAGTTTTACTACATAATTTTACACATATTTTTTATAGAAATTAATACTTTAACACATTAAAGACATTAAACTGATCAAAAGTGACAGTAAAGACATTTATAATGTTACAAAAGATTTCTGTTTCAAATACAGTGGGTATAGAAAAGAATCAGCCCCCCTTTAAAATTTTGCCCCATCCATTTTTCCTTCTATCCTGTATCCTGACAAGTGCTCCAGTCCTGCTGCAGAGAAACACCCCCATAACAGGACATTACCACCTCCATGCTTTACTGTAGGAATGTTGTTATTTGGATGGTGAGCTGTATTGGATTTCCGCCATACATATCATTTGGTGTTGAGGCCAAATAATTCATGATATGATATGAAACAACATTGATAATAATTAGAAATGTTTCTTGAGCAGCATATCAGCATATTAGAAGGATTTCTGAAGGATCACGTGACACTAAAGACATTAGTAATGGCTGCTGAAAATTCAGCTTTGCCATCACAGGAATGAATTACATTTCAAAGTGTGTGTGTGTGTGTGTGTGTGTGTGTGTATGTGTGTAATTGTAAAAAAATACAATTAATTTCTTTCATATATATTCATAAATTTAGAATGTGCTAAATATGATAGACAGAGACATGTTGAGGTTGGAGTGTATAGACACATGGGCTTTCTAGG